CGGGCCCGCCCCGCCCCAGGAGCTAACCCCCTTATCGACTAGTCAGTGGAAATTCCATCGACTACTCGAATCGCTTATTAACCGCTACTTAGCATCCCCAATCCAGACCCCTGCCGAGCGGCGGAGCACACCTGGCCCCAGCCAGCCCCCGTCTCTCCGCCACGCGATGACCGAGCCCTGCTCCTGAGGCAATGGGGCGAGACAGAAGGGGATTCTCTCTTTGGAGGTGGGGGTGGGGGTTGGTCCTTCCCTCCGGGAAACAGGGAACAGTCCCCTCTGGCCCCTCGGATGCGGCGCGCGGTGGGGGGAGGCAGGGCTGCGGGGGTGGGGGCATGAGCACGTCGTGGCGGCTGTGACTGGGTGCGTGCGGGTGTCCCCGGGACGGCTCTGAGGGTCTTGCTCTCTCTCTGCCCAGGCTGCGCTGTGTCGCTGTGTGGTGAGGGCCGGTCGCGCCGGGACTGAGCCCCGGATTCTCCTGGTGAAAGCGTTCCCCGGGCTGGAGGACGTCTGGAGGGGAAGACCCCACCCCAGGGAGCCTACCCCAGGCCAGCGGGGCCCCTGGGAACTTGGAGAGCCAGAGCCAGCCCATTTCAGAAGACCGCAGGTAAGGCTGTGCCTCTGCTCCTGCTCCCGCTGGGCTTGGCTGAGTGTCCCCCACGTGCTGGTCCCTGCACCCCCAGCACCTGGGAGCCCTGGCATGCCCTTCCTCTTCCCCGTGCAACCCTGCACACGCCAGCAGAGCCAGCAGGCCACTGTGAGCCAAACAGTGGGCCCAGCTCCTCGTGGGCAGGGCGCCCGCCGGAGAAACCACCCCCCTGCCACATCGCAGCAGGCGCTGAGGAGAGACTGGGCCGCAGAGACAGAACTGCCCACTCCCCCGGGGATGAGGCACTTTGGCACCTTCTCCCCTCCCAGCCCCGCCCCCGGTGCGCCCACACACATGCCCCGGGTCATAGGGCTGTCACTGCCAGGCACAGAAAGCCGGCTGAGGGCTGCCAACTCTCCCACGCTGTCAGTAAGGGCCCCGCTTTGCAATAAGCCACAAACCAAGCTGATCCTGTTTCAGAACAAGCCAGGCCCCAAGAGAACCCCAACTCTCTGTGACTCCATCCCCTGGCAGGCAGGCTGATCTGTGGGACAGGTCCTAGGGGGGCAGGGTGGGCGAGGACCATGGGAGGGGGCTACCAGAGACTTGGGGGCATTGGAGGCAGGACTAGGGCTCCATGTCCCCAACAGCTGGGGATGGCTGCACGCCCACAGCACAGGACACGCTGCCAGCCAGGCTGTAAGCAGCTGGGAGCTCAGCTCACCCCACGTGCCCAGCAAGAAACTGGCACGGCCCTAGGAAACCCAGGCAGGTGACAGCCCTCGTCAGTCACTAGCACGGAAGTCCCATCCTGCGACTGAGGGGACAGGAGGGGCACGTCCGCGCCGCAGGGCCAAAGTCGAATTAAGCTGCGTGACTTCAGCCACATCAGTTGCCCAGCTGAAGTGGAAAGAGCTGAGCGCGGTCGGCACAGCAGGACGCCGAGGGGAGCGCTCTTCCCCCGACCGCCCTCACTCCTCGTGGAATGAGGGTCCAGGAGTCGGAGGAAGAAGCCCGTTATTTCGAAATGCTTAGGTGTAGGCCAGGCCCAAAACGAATGGGGGGAGAAAACCCAAGTGCGTCCCCTGCCAGGAGGGAGCAGAAGCTGTTACCCAACGGCCCAGCCCCTCCTGTACCAAATCACACGGGGGCAAGTGGTGATAGCCCCAGCTAGAGCCCAGTTCAGCCGTGGGGATCCTGGCTCCTGCCTCTTATGCCCTGCAGGGCACTCAGTGGGGGGCAGTCCCCCCAGGGCCAGTGAGCAAGAGGGTCACAGCCAAATGGACTAGATGGGCCACACACACACACACACACACACACACAGTCTGTCCTGCTTCCCAGTGCAGCAGCGCCGAGGGGGCCTGTGTTTAACCATCTCCCCACCGGTGCCACGGCGCAGAATTTCCACGGACCCAAAGGCAGGGGCAGGGTGGAGTAAACAGAAGGCTCTTCCCTGCTCCAAGGGATGTGCAGCCCGGGTGCACAGCAGCCCCACCGGGGACACGAGGCACAGGGCGGAGAGCAGCCCACGTGCCTGGCAGTCACACCGTGGGGTGCTGGTCCCAGCCCCGGGGGAAAAGCCGGCCCGTAGCAGACCCAGCCAGACGGCCACCCTAGGCCCGGGGGTGTGGGCAGGACAGAGGATTTCTCTGCCTCATGCTTTGCCACTGAGCAGGGCCGATGCTCTGTGCGTGCCCCAAGCCTGGTGGGTTGCTGTGGGGGTTGCGACTGCTCTCCAGCCCTGCCGGGGCAGGGTACCAGGCCCACGGAGTCAGCGCCTGCCATTCGAGCACCCTCCCTGCTTGGCTGCTAGCGAGCCTGTTCCGAAGGGGCTGTGCTCCCTGTCAGGCCCCGGGGCTGGGATGGGGAAGTGGGAATTTCCGGCCTGACTTGAGGTGCCTTCTAGGGAAAGCATGACTGAGGTGGAGCCTGTACTGGACTTCGCATCCTCTGGGAGGACCGGTCGCAGGAACGCCCTCCCTGACATCCTGGGCTCGCCGGCCGGCGTCAGCCCCTCCGACCTGCCTCTGAAACTAGCAGAAATGTCTCTAAGCTCAGGTACCTGCCAGGCTTCAGGCTGAATGGACCTGCCTGAGAGCTGCGCCCTGGGCCCCAACAGGAATGTGGGGCTGGGGTCCCTGGAGACGGGGCAGGGGTCACACTGCCTAGGAACATGGGCTAGTGGTTACAGCTGGGGGCTGGACCACTGTCCTCACTCCCTCAGGGACAATGGGCATTGTTAGGTGGGATTATTCTGCCAGGCAAAGGTGGCGAGGAGTCCTGTGGCACTTTAGAGACTAATTGAAGTGTAGGAGCAGAAGCTTTCATGGGCAAAGACCCACTTCGTCAGATGCAAGTAGTGGAAATTTCCAGAGGCAGGTAGAAATATGCAGGCCAGGATCAGGCTGGAGATGACCAGGTGGATCCAATCAAGGAGGATGAGGCCCACTTCTAGCAGCTGATCTGGAGGTGTGCTTTTGTAGTTAGCTAGCCATTCACAGTCTTTGTTTAATCCTGAGCTGATTGTGTCAAACTTGAAGATGAACTGTAGCTCAGCAGTTTCTCTTTGAAGTCTGGTCCTGAAGTTTTTTTGCTGCAGGATGGCTCCCTTGAGATCTGCAATTGAGTGTCCAGGGAGATTGAAGTGTTCCCCTGCAGGTTTTTGTATGTTGCCATTCCTAATATCTGATTTGTGCCCATTGATTCTTTTACGTAGGGACTGTCCTGTTTGGCCGATGTATATAGCAGTGGGGCATGGTTGGCACGTGATGGCATACCTTACGTTGGTAGATGTGCAGGAGAATGAACCAGTGACTGTATGGCTGATCTGGTTAGGTCCTGTGATGGTGTTGCTGGTGTATATACGTGGGCAGAGTTGGCACCAAGGTTTGTTGCATGGATTGGTTCCTGGATCTGCCAGGCAGCTCTCCAGGGTTTATGGCTCCCTCGCGGGGCCGGGGCCCCGTGGGGCCGTCCTGTGATGGTGTTGCTGGTGTATATACGTGGGCAGAGTTGGCACCAAGGTTTGTTGCATGGATTGGTTCCTGGATCTGCCAGGCAGCTCTCCAGGGTTTATGGCTCGTGTGAGAGCCGAGGCCCAGTGGCGCCAGGCGCTCTGCAGACGCAGCACGAACAGATGCTCCCTGCCCCACATGCTGAGCAGTGCCCGGTGGCCATGGTGGGTGCCCTGCCAGAGCACACACTCAGCGCTGGCCCAGCGCTCTCCACCCCGTTCCCATGTGAGGGGAGCCTGGCCTGGTGGCTCCTCCTGCGGCGGGGGTCAGTGTGGCGTGGCTGTGCGTGGAAAGGGCGCCAGGACACCCTCTGGATAAGCCCAAGAGACAGTCCCTTCGGGGGGGAGTCAGGGGGCGGAGATGCCTGGGGCTGGCAGAAGTGGGGGGGCCTGAGGGCAAAGTGCTGGGAGCTGGGAAGCCAGCGGGCGGGGGCTGACTAGGACTGCGGTGCAGGGGGATAGGGCTGCCGGGGGGCGGCAGGGAGTAGGGGATGGGCTGGGGCCAGGCCGTGCTGGCCCCATTTGTGCTTTCCAGGGCGTTTCATGGCGCTTGCCTCTCTTGCTCTCCACAGACCGGTCCCAGGAGATGCAGTCCCCGTCCACAGAGGTGCCCCCGCAGCAGCCGCAAAGCCCAGAGCTGAAGGACACATCGTAACGCCGCCCCGGGATGCATTTCTGAGCAGCGGGGCAAGGCGAGACCGCGGAGCATCGACACAGCTTGACTGGTGGGGCCTGGAGAGCTGGGTTTCCCTTGGTGCTATGCAGCAAGAACATCTTGTGCTCCCGGGAGCGGGGGCGTAGAGGCGCCTCACGGGGACTAGCAGCCACGCGTGTGGCCAGGCGGGGGAAATCCCTGCGGGGACCCGTCTCTGCGGTGACGTTTGAGGACACAGACTGAGGAGCCGGGCGCTCGTTTTGGGCCACACCCAAGCAGCTGCACGGAGCTGCGGCTGCAGTGTCTCCGTGCCGGGATTGCGCCTAGCCCCCCGGCTGTTCCGCGCGGAGAAGGCTCCTTCACTGTGATGTTCTGAGCACAAGTCCCCTGTCTTGTCTTTTCTAAGAGATGATCCCGTATCCTTAGGCAGGGCCCCGGAGCAGGCTGGGGCGGCCGGCGCAGAAGGAGGCTGTGGCACATTCTCCTCTTGTCCGGCAAACAGACGTGACCCTTCCTAGGCCGGGCCCTGCTCATGCTTAACCCCTGCGACTTGCGGGGTCAGGCTGCCCCAGCCCTGGCTCCCTTTC